CTAAAAAATAAAATAAAGTAAAAAAATATATATGTATATGTATGGAAGAAGGTTCTCCTGAGGGAGAGAGCCTTGAAGATTCACCTCAGGGTGGTTGGAGCCAAAGGCAGATTTTTTAAAACTATTTTAGGACTGCCTAGATTCCGCCAACAGGAATGTGGCTACCAATATGTATTGTAATGCCTTCAGGACATGCTCTTAATGGTGGCCAGTGGCATGGAGTGGCTGCTGTATAGAGCTGAGCACATCCACTATATGCAGCTTCTGTGCTGTCAGAATTCTCCACTAAGTTTAAGGGTTGTTGGTTGTAGCTGTGTTGATCTAAGGACATAGGTAAACATGGTTCTTTGGGTAGAGGTGATATGATTTATTAGACCAACTAAATAGTTGGGGAAATTGTTCTTTGCAAGCTTTTGGGCACAAACATCCTTCTTGTGCCCAAAAACATGAAAAGAACCATATTTCCAACTATTTAGTTGGTCTAATAAAAGATATCACATCTAGCCATCAGGTTTAATACATCTGCATGGAATCTAACTGCTTGCATGTTAAGATACCAAATAAAGACATGGGAGATCTGCCTTCCATACCTGGACCTACCGTAGGATTTTCTTATGACCCCAAACAGGTAATGCTGGAGCCAAGTCAAAATAACACAATAACAGGATAATGTCCAGGGTTAAATTTAAACAATTGAATTTTGTCTGTGATTTTTTATTATTGTTACAAATACTTTTATATATGAAGTGCTTGAAAAATCCTATATTTGTTTTTAATTCCCTGTTTTATTAAGAAGGCAATTTAAGAAACCGCTAGGTAATCTCTGCTTTGGGAGCCTCTTCCATGCTCATAAATCTCCACATATGTGGAGGGCTATTTTGTAGTTTCTGTAGTACAGTTTTACAGTTTCTCTTTCAGTGTAATATTCTTAATGGTTTATTTTATATAATGATAACACAGTATTTTAATATTACAGTAGTTCCTAGTGTCATTGGATGAAATTATGTGCATCTGTGGAACAACAGACTATGGAAACAGCAGGCATACAATACAATAAACACCTTGGATCTGGAATGCCTTTATCTGCCTAATTCACTGTCCTCTCTCTATTTGCACTGAAGACTTGAGTTTAATCTCGTGTGCTATGGTGAAAAGTCAGAATAAATCTGCTTGTTGCTATGACTTTGAACTAGCAACTAAACAGAACTTATTCCAAAAGCATCTAATTCAGAATGCATCTTGTTCAGTATGCATGGTCCAATATGTCCATAGTATGAGACAAGAACCCTGCAATGTAATAACCCAATCTTATAAGTAAACTTTAGTATAATGCGCAGATTTATTGGAGTTGAGGTTTCAACACAGTTTAAGGAGATGAGCAGTTGTCAGTTGCAAAAGAACAGGTTAGGACCTATTTAGAAAAGCTGGATGTGTAAAAGTCCTTGGGCCAGATTTGTTATACCTGATGGTGCTGAGGAAGCTGGCCAATGTGATGCAGAGCCACTGCCCATTATCTTTGAAGCTCATGGTGATTGGGAGAAGTCCCAGACAATTGGAAAAGGGCAAATATAGGTCTCGTCCAGCTTTACTTTTAAGGGGTTCCATTAAATCAACAGTAATACTGATTTTTTTATACTTCACTGTAACTGTTACCTAAAATGCAGTATGGAAGAGGCTACTATAGTGCTAATTATAGATTTTGCATCATCATATATGTATGCCTAAAATGTTTTCGGTTACTTTATTTTTATTAAGTAGCAACAGACCAAACAAAATCTGCATCATGTGAGCCAAATGGTGAAGAGTGAGGATTAACATATAAGCCAATTAAGTATTCCTTTTAAAATGAATGACCATTTACTACAGCCCTTGATTAAATAACTACAAGCTCTTGATATACTTGCCTTTATGAACTGTAGGTCAATTTCTCATGATTACTTTTAAGTATTTTAGTATCTATAGCTTCTAACAGGACAGAGAGAGAAAATGGAGGATATTTTATAGAAGCAATGATACACCAAAGGAAAATACAAGTTATATTAAATTGAATATAATTAAAGTCTGACGGGTGGTACATTTGTCTACAGCATTGTGTTTGGTTCCCCCCCCCCCCC